TTTTCCGCAAGAAAGATAATTTCATTTAAGAAGATAAAATATACTTTTATATGATTTTAGTGACCTTAAAGAAAACCTATTCCTATTGCGTAAGCCGTGAAAGCAAACGATAATAATTATGCTCCGATTTTGCTGTTATTTTTAATCTGTGGTGTTTGTGCTTAGCAATGAAGGAATCTAAAAAATCGCAAAGAATGGTAAACTGCCACACCCACTGCACTAGAGGCGGAAATAGTAAATGTTATCCGCTTTTAAGGAAATGTGGTTTTTAGCTTAGTTTTAACCAGAAAATTTTTTATCTGAAAGATGATCAAAATCGGCTTACTGGTACGCCCACCAGCCCCACAAAAACCAAAATTTTTTAAAACCAGTAATATCTAACATTAAAAAAAAATTCACCAGCTAAACATATTTTTTTTTTTAATTTTTGTATTCCAGGCAAAATATAAAATTCCAGTGAAACCATATCACGATTATTACTTTTTGCGGCAGCTTATATGGGAATCTGTCATTTTGAAGCGTCCCATCTGTGAGAGATTAAAGAGAGGGAAAAGTAGCTAAAATGTGTTTTGTTAATAGTTTAGAGTCTATAGAGCATTTTTGTTGTACCAATCACCTTTAACCGCACGGCGCACAGTGGTACAGTCCCAGAGATTTTTTGGAAAAAACTTACAAGGAGTCGGCGTAGAACTTAAATTTTCTGTATGCAACATTTATGGACATAAGTAAATCAAGAAAAACAACTAAAAATTGGCGTGATCGATTTATATTGAAGCACTCATTAAACCCTAATACTAATACTATACAGCTATATGACCCAGAAATTTTGGGAGTAATCGGTTTACTTTAACACATACGTAACATGAAAACTTAACCTCAAAAATGCCTTAAAAATACCAACAATGCCGTATATGCGGTTACGTTAAAAATCGCAAATACGAGTCAGATTTTTTTTTTTCAAAATCGAAAGCAAAGATTACGATCTTTAAAATTTCTATAGCTAGAAGAAATATGACTTAGCGAAAACCAGTCTTAAGTGTTCTTTAAGCTTGTGCGCAGTACGTGTTTTGTTTAGCTCCATTATAATGCCGAAATATTCATACAGGCGATGTTTACCAATAAAGGTATTTTTTTTTTGTATAAGAAACTTTTTAATAACAAAAGTTTTTCTAAACCATAGGCATGATACTCTATTTTAATATGTTAACCTAATCTAAAATCTATAAGCTAAAGAAATTTTACAAAAAAAATTCAAAAAAAAATCTTAAACGGAATTTTTTTTTCAAACGGTATCGGTATAACATACATTAAAAAATATGATACGACTGTAACAAATTTCAGATATAAAAAAATAAACTTTGTTTATTAATTTTTATTACAAACGATGTAGTAAATACGCATTTGCTTTAGTTTGCATAATATTTTTTTTGTATAAAGGTGAAATGTTCGTTGTTTATAAAGGATGTTTATAAAGGATATTTACCATTGAGGATATGAAAACCGCTTACCCGAAACTTTACGGGCTTACGAAAAAGTGCTGTCAGTTAGTTGGTTGGTGCCTTCTGAGCGTCTTTTTTTTAAAAGCTCGTGCTACGACCACCAAGAAACTCAACCGCTTAACAACAAAATACTTATGAAGACTTTTGTTTTTGCAAAAATGGTTAAATAATAAAATTATCGGCGCTAAAATTACTCCTTTTATTTTATTTAAAGTTAATTAACCAGACAATTTGAAATTTTTTATGGAGAAATGTAAATGCTCACTGTAAAAAGTACCTTTAAAAATTTGATTATTCGATTATTTCTCAATAATTGCAATTAATTGTAATTAATTTTTCTTGGCTTGTAAATGAAGCGATTATTTGATTTTTTGCCATCCCTCGCCGCAGGGTACTTTTACTCTCTAGAAACTCACAGAAAACTGCATGAAATCATACAAATGTTCGCAACTCTGAAATTATGCACTATGAAACGTGATTAAAATCCGTTATATAGCAATTCTTGTGCATTATTCAACTTGGTATTAAAGATAGAGGCAAATCCAAAAAAAACTTCTCACTCAGCTACCGTGAAAGGCGCAATCCAATTTTTACACAAAAATACCTTTCATACTTCAATATCGGCTTCCTTCGTCCTTTGAATGCTGAACAACAATCTTAGCCGTATTTGTAGACGTGCCTGGAATCTTACCAACCACTTAGTTGCACATTTCAAGACATTTAAAATCTTCGACTTTCTGCCACTCACAGAACACTGTGCGACGTAGTGAAATAATTTTTGTAGCATTCTGATAAGTGAGCCAATTTGTTAACGTGTTAATAACTTTTTATTATAATACAAATTTGTCTTAAAAAATTTTTTGTTACACTTACATACATACATAGAAGTGCAAGAAAACTTTTCAAATAAATAATGCAAATACTTATTTTTCTAGCTTAAAATAAAAGCACTAATTCGGCGTGGGCATGTGCTAAACATTTTTTCACAATTTTTAGTGTATTGATTTTTGTGTTTTAATGAAATTTTATTTAAAAAAAAATTGCTAATTTAAATTCTGTAATTTTTCGACTTTATGAATCTTTAATGCAGTCCATGAAAACGATTTTCTTTTTAAATTAAAAACTCAGCACTTAAAAAAAAATCACACCTGGCACACGCGTCAACGTTCTCTCTAAATTTTTCGCTCACACTCCCACTCTTTCTCTCGCTACCTGTTATGCTCACTACATATTTATTTAAACTCACTTTTACTTATGAAAATTCTATTATTTCCCGAATAATTTTTTTCCGCGCGCAAGCACTGTTTTAACTATAATAAATACTAAAACACAACTGAAAGGGGAATTTTTTATTTCATTAGCTTAACTAATTGCCGGTGAGCGCCCGCTCACTTGGCCACTATCAATGGTGGGAGGGTTAGATGGGCGCGCGCATGCAGTGACAAAGTTAAAATAGAGCGAAATAAATGAATTACGAAATCGCCGTGGTAAAGGAGCACAATTTGTTTGTTATCGTGATAAGTGCACATGCGATATTGAATAACTGTACTCGTATGTACATACATATGTATTTAGTTTGTTGTTTTTGTTGTAAAGCTTTGCGAACAAGCTTTTTCTACCACAGTAACTCAACTTGTCATGCTCGACATTGTTTCGACATACTTCCCGCTGTAGTTATCAATGCTTATCTGTTATTTTAGTTAAGTGTGATAAGTGAGACTTTTATTTATCTTAGCTTTTTGTTCCAAAATTATGAAAATCACAGGTACTGTACGTATGCCAAGCGTATGAGTGATATGCAAACAGAAGAGGAGCGGCGCGGTACGGCTTTTCTACTATGTACCAGGGTTAGAACTACAGCAAGCCTAAATCGGAGTAAATGAAGTGAAAAAGCGTAGCAGAAAATATAATTCCGTAGTAGATATTTTTCATTATTATTGGCTCGTCATAATTTGCTTTTTTTAGTTAAATAAAATAATGCATAACAATAGCCTTTTAGACAATTTCAAAAGTTAAAAAATTACATACGTACAGTCTAATTGGAAGCCAATCACTCTTTGACCTCTTCTCTTAAAAAAAAAAAAAAACATGTAGTATTTTTTAGCGAAAAATGTGTTTGAAGGCCACAACAATTCTAAAAGCTACTTGAAAAAACTGCCCTAAAACAATTTTTTTTAGTTCCAATACGGCAATAAGTGCTGTTTATTATTTGGGAAAGAAAACCAAAGTAGATCGTGTATGAAGCGGAGTTGCGTAGTAAATTTCTAATTTTCATCAAAAATCGTAGCAAATCTACTACGATCGTAGTGAAGTTCTAACGCTGCCATGTACTAAATATTTTTATTGCTATCGTTTCTTCTCTTATTTTTTAACTAACTTTCTAACTAAGGAACGAACACTTTTAATGACGTTTGCCCTTATGTCCAATAGCCACTGGTATTTGACGCCAAAGTGAATTCTTAGTTGAAATATTTTTTTTTTTTATAATCTGACTGTGCCACATTAAGTGATCAAAAGTTAAAATTATTTTTTTTTAAGTATTTCTAGCATACATGAAGTACCGCGGTGATCATAACACCTAAATATTTATTAATTGGAATTACCTTACTGTTAAGGCCGCATAACAGGATTGACACATTCGGCCAATATTTGATTTGCATCTATTGGCACAAAGTATTCTTAGCAGCCACACATAGTAAATTAATTGAAAAATGTTTTAAAAAAGTTGGTCACGATTGACCCAAAGAGCAATATTTAGTCTATCGTACGATTAGGTTACCAACTCACACCAAGTATTTCGTCTGACTAGGCATTTAGCTTTTGCATGTAAAGCATAGAGCCACACTTAGCCTGAGTAAGCCATTGTGACACCTTTGAAGTTAGTATAAAACAAATTCGAGATTTTTTAACACTTATCTCGAAAACTACTTAACGAATTTGAATGACATTTTTAAACTAATGCGCATCTATCTGTTGGGGTATTATATTTAGTAATTAGAATTTCTATAGGGTTGCCACCTGTCTAAAAAATTAAAAAACCCGCACCGTTCGTTTGATTACAAAAATTGAGGTGTCAAATTAAAAGATATGGTCTCCGGATGTGCAGTTATTTAAAGGCTAGATAAATATAATAAACAGTGTTAAAGAGATAGACGGTGCTTGAACGGACAGTTTCAAATAAAAGATCAGCAAAAATTTTAGTTGGAGCAATGCTTTTGTACGGTCAGAGAGCCTATGTAAGCATTAAAAAAATGCACAACTGGTCTTCCTAGATTTTGGGATCCATATTACCATGTTGCAGAATATTTTTCTTCAGCCATCCGCGGATGTTTTAAGCCAGAAAGTCTGAATTTCGAAAATGCGAGAATACTCACATAGTTTTTGTACAATTCGGAAATTGTGAACTTTTCACATTACTTACCTTTATAAAAATTACAAAATGTCTGATTCATACGAAAAAAGTGCACGCCACAATATAAGCAAACTCGTTGAAATTTTTTTTCAAAGTTTATTGATAATTTAAAATAAATTGTTGGCATTACAATGAGCTCACAATGTTTAAATATGTATGTATGTATATCAATTACCGAAACAGACAATTCAAAGCTTAAAATTATTAAATTACTCAAAAATCAAAAAAAAAGTGATTAAAACCAATTTTTAAATGAATTCAAACTTATTCACTAGTAAAAAAAAATTTTTAGAAAGACAAAAAATTATGAGTATCATTTGTGGTTATAGAATATCAAATAACTTAATTAATGTGTGCTTTGTATCGTTGTATGTCGGAAGTTAATCACAAAAAAAAATGTTTTAGTGAAAATTAGTAAAAATTTTAATAAGTAAAAAATTTTTTAATACTCGTTTTTTTCACTTATAAACTAAACAAAAAAATGTTAGTATGCAGTAAGTTAAAGTTAAGTTGAAAGTGCATATGTTAAAATTTTATTTAGAGCAAATCAATAAAATTTTTTACTTTATTTTAAATATTTCAATTTATAAACCATTTGTTGACGTGGCAGATAAAAGGAACTATTTTCTATCGCAAGAAAATGTATTACATAGTAAGTATGTTTATATGTATGTATATTAAGTCTTAGTATGCTTAGTTAACATTGCAATTAGTTGGAGTCAAGTCGTTGACAAATTTTCACTTTTTTCATATTCGAAAACACGTATGTACATAAATATACATATGTGTTCTTTCTCGTTAGCTAAAACCTCATACAAATTGACAAAGTATTTATTATTTACTTTTATCGATACATATTTTTGATTTTGGCATTTTCAAATGCTATTGCAAAACTCTTTCGCCATACTCTTTTCAGTATTTAATTACCAAATTTATCATAACCTCAAATAAATTATATTCATTACAAAGTACGGGCAAGTCTTGAAGCAAAATGATACTTGATATTCTTTAGATGATGTTTTTCATTCGCTCGCGACGTTTGTGTCTCATTTTCGCGCGCTCGCACTATGCTCACTACGCTTTTTCTGCTCTGAAGTAGACCTTTCGTGCTGTCGTCGTGAATGATCACTTTGCTTGTTGGGTTGGCCATCGCGTTGTCCACTACTGTGTCGTCCACTTATAATTTGCGAGCTTTTACTATGTTTAAAAGAGAGAAGCAGAAAAAGAAGTGATATTATTTTTTGTTTGTGTAAATGAAAGTTGCAAACAACAAAAATGATTCTACAAGCTACAGAAAGTGAAATGGAATAATGAAAGTAAGGCAGTAGGGTAGTCCTTAATTTTTATGTCATACCTGCTACTTAAAAAATTTCTTCTAAGCGATTTCGACCTGCAATCGTAGTGGCTGAAAACGTAAAAAAATTTTAATTTCTTTGACGTAATCGAGTTGAAATCGAAAAAATTACTCGACTTGTGAAAAATAGCATAACTAGACAAATTGAATTCGATAAATTTACGCGAAAAGGAAAAACGGCATGGCTTCGTGTGTTCATGCGTGCTCATTTTTTATTGCAAATGAACGAATTTAATATTTGAAAAAAAAAAACGCATAACTAAAAGGACAACCCAACTACAGTCATGATGAAATTTAAGTCATCGTATTGAAAAGTGAAATGAATTCGAGACATATCGAGCCCTCACCGCCAAAAAGACGTATGCGAAATTTTTTTTTCAGAATTTTGTTTTTGATGCGGATATGTATCTAGATGCTCTAGCAACATTTCTGCATCAAAAAGAAAATTTAAAAATTGTCGCCTACGTCTTATTGGCAGTTGGGGCTCGTTATGTGGTTAACGAATATTGTTATTGTGATTTTGTGATATTCTAAAACTGAAATGATATTCAGGTAGATACTGAATATGTGGTTCATGGAATTTCTGCGGTTGCTTTCAGTAATTAAAGTTGACTTTAGTGCCATCATTCTGCATGCAATATGTCTCTATTATGTATTTAGTTTGCATTTTTGACGTTTCAAGCCAGATAGAGAGGAGCGGCTAAGCGACGTTTCTGGTCGAAATGTAAGCGATGGTGCAGAAGTTGTTTGAGATGAGCGAGATGAAGCTTCCTCCGACTTCATAATGTGGACAAGTGGTTCCACAGACGTTTCGTGCTTTTCAATTTCTGAGAATTGTGCTATTCTCTCCCGACACGTCGCCGAGCAACCTGCTAGCTTCTAATTTAGTTGTCAAATGACCGTCGCTGAAGAAAGTTTCGTCGTTCGGTGGTATATTAGGTAAGTTAGGTCCATTCAAAGTTTTGACAGAGGCTGTGAAACTATACGGGTAACATTTACATAGAATTTAGATTCAGTTTTGACAATTTCATTTTAATGATTGAAAACAGTGTACAAAGTTCATCTGGCGTAAAACCAATGTCGAAAAAAAATAAGAGTAATCAACCTTCAAGAAAAAAAAAAAAATGCGAATAGACGATCAACTTTTCGTAGAAACCATAAATCAAGTGATATTGTAATCGGATTTATCAAGTGATGAGGAAGAAGACATGTTTGTGTAGAGGGAGGAGATTTAAGTCGGCGCCATGAGAGCGAAGTGATAGACTATGAAACTTCGAACCGCAATTCTGATAAATTTTGGAGCTAGCAGCAACAAATTAATATTCCGGTAAAACATCAATACAAGTGGGCTAAAAAAAAGCCATTGTCCAGTCGGGTACGAACACCCCTACGTAACATTGTGTCGCGTTCATCTTCTTTAAGGAAGGGCTGTGGAGCATAATAATGATCCTTACAGCGTGTGTAATAAGCTGTTCGATAAAGAAAGGTGGCAACAAAATTTAAAGTAGAATTCGATCGACAGCAGAGAAACATCTCCGGATTCCCTTAGCCTAATAACTTTACGTGCTGCGACAATTCTGTCTGCAATATCCACAGGAGCCGTGTTCAACATACGTTAAGCGCCAAAGTAGGTGTGGTTCCTAATGCTCCGCTAATTCCTGTTTTACAAGTGTAGCCTTCTCCATTGAGTTCCACCAGACAAGGGCTCCTTGAAACAAGATAGGCTTAAAACTGGTTTCCTAGAGCTAATGAATTAATTTGGGCGAGAGACCTCACCTTTTACCGATAATTCCCCTACAGCAGTACAAAGCAACCGACACCTTGCTTACCCTTTCCTCAATGTTAGGCTTCCACGACAGCCGCCGTTGATCGCCCACCTAGTTACCTGATTCAGGTAACCTTCAGCCAGATCAAAAAGGGGGTATAAAAATCGTCCCTTAACCGAAAGTTCCACATCATCTACAAAGGTGATCACCAGACCAGCTGCTCTATAAGGTCGTTTGCAACCGCAATCCAGAGCGAGGGAGAGAGAACACCACCTTGTGGAGCGCTCCTATTGACTCTGCGCTGAGTGCAGGCGCTATTCCACTCCACCGTGACAGCTCTACCACGAAGTAAGCTGTATTAATAGGTTGGTTTCAACCCTCAAATTATGAATATGCTTGACTATTGCCTCTGGAGTGGCATTGTTGAAGGCCCCCTCGATATCGAAGAAGGTTCTACTACATAATCTTTATGCGTGAAGGCTTCCAGTGACCACTTTTCCAATATGTGTAGGGCGGTATTCACCGACCTTTTGTTGCAATATGCATATTGAGCTCTTGAAGGACAGTCACGAGGAATCCCGTTTCTCATGTACAGGTCTATTGGTCTGTCTAGCGATTTTAGGAATAACGAAGAGAGACTGATATGCCTAAAATCTCTATGGGAAACAAGAGGGCCTTTTTTGGCATTCGGGATGTACGCAATACTGACTAGCCTCCAAGCCTTGGGGATGTACCCGGTCTTCACGCAGTTCGCATAAATAGGATCCAACCAATTGCACGGCACGTTCAGAGCCGTTTGCAGCTGCGCAGGTATGATGCCCGGCGACTTTAATGGGCCCAGGCCATGTGACGATTGGAGAAGTACAGGACCTGAAGTACAAAATATCGCAAAGAAGTACATTTGACTGTACTTCGAAGTACGAAGTACAAGAGCGAAAAAAGAAATACTGTACTTCCGAAAGAAGTACGGTTGGTCGCATTCAGCATAACTCATCAATATGGTGGTATTTTTTATGCTACGTAAGTCGAAACAAGGCCACACACCGTCTGCCTCAAACCTTTTATTGTGTCGAATTTATTAAAATTACGAACACAACGCATTCACTACATGAAGTGTAAATTTTCATTTTACGATACCCATTAAAGAAGGGGGAGTTAGAAATACATAAACGTAACAAATCTCGACCCTTATTTTGTAGTTAACAATGGTAAGACTTTCTGCATAAAAGATAATTTTATTTGGATAGTAGATAACAAGGAACACTATTTTATGGTCTGCCAGGCCACTACAAATGGTTGAGCGCTTACTGAGTTATCAGAAGGTCGACTCGGTACATATTTCGATTCGAAGATCAAATCATTCGGATTCGAATACTTGGCGCAATGAATTTTGTATCAGTTTGTGTCGCCTTTAGAATCGCATTGAGTGGCGAATTGTATTACAAAGTATACTCCCAGGAGTTTGAGAAGATGAGAAGCAAATAAAATCAGGGTTTAACCTAGATGTAGTTCTTTTCTTTTATATAACCTAAAGAGATTCGAACATTTAAACAATACCCTAAACTTGGTATGCCATCAGGCACACCTAGACGACAGACACTGCTTTTGATACTCAAATACGATGCTAAAAGCTTAAACAGACGGCAGCGTTAACTGCAGTTGATCCGGATTAAGTCCGGGTTAATCCGGATCAACTGCAGTTAATTCCCGAGTTGATCCGGATCAACGCTGCCGTTTGTTTATGCTTTAAGATAGCTTCTAATCTCCATATCTATCGATCACATCAGAAAATGCTTCCCTACCTTTATTACAATCGGCAAACTTGCGGGCCAATGCACTTTGTAAAGACATTTCAATTATAAAAATTCGCTTAAAGCATAAACAGACGGCAGCGCTGATCCGGATCAACTCGGGAATTAACTGCAGTTGATCCGGAATAAGTCCGAGTTAATCCGGATCAACGCTGCCGTCTGTACAAGCTTTTAGTAATTTATGACACTCTCCCTAGAGGAGAGTCATTACGGTAATGAAATAAGTGAATGTTCAAAGATTTTCAAAACAGTTTATGAAATGTTAGAATGAGAACAAAACTAAGTAAATATTTCAAAAACTACTGTAAAGATTTCAGCAAAAGCGGCGACTAATACGAGAGAGAGAGAGAAAGAGGGAAATAGAGAGAGAGAGTGATAGAGAGAGTTGATGCGAACCAAGGCTAACTACCGTTAATTAAAGGATTCTACGGGTAAATAAGACAGCAATTACTACAAATGAACAGCTACTAGACAACATGCTTGTCAACTACTAAGTACAACTACGAAGTGAAAGTTACGATAAAAAATTTGATTAAATTAAAAAACGCTCTCTTACACTGTGAGAAAGTAAAAACACATCCACAAAATTTTGCATTGAATAATGTCAAAAGTGCTGGAATTTGAATTTTCTACGTGGAACTGGCACTCAACAAACACAAATACATACATATTATGTAATAAGTATGTAGGTAATTAAAGTTGTGGTGCAATTATGGGTAGTGAGTAATAGTACGAGTAGATGAGAGTATGGGTATGCACTTGAACAAATAATATTTTCGAATTTTGGGCTTTCTTTAGCAACTTGTATTTCAAAAACATTCCAAAATGCTGTTTATTTGCTTTTGGAAATTTTTTTTGCAGTGCATTCGGGTAAAATTTCGTTTTGTTGTGATGCAATAGCGAGTGATTTTGTAATACTTTAGTGAAGTTGTCTGCGCTGAAAGCCTTTTGTGGCTATGATAATTTAAATTGAGATCCATTTCGTTCGGAAGTTGACACAGCGCATTATTGGTTGTCTTTTTTCTTTTGTGCGGGTAACTGTGTTTCTCTTTTTTCATTGGCTATTTGAGCGCTCATCGTTACTTTTCTCTCATAAAAATTTTTGTTGTGCATTGCTCTCGCTCACTCTTTTATCGTTGTCAATCAGTGCTTTTAACAGCTCTTTGTCACTCTCTCTCTCTCTGCCTCTCCCTCTCTCTCTCTCTCTCTTCCTCTCTATCTGACTATGAACATGTGCATAACCCGAACGGATGATGCGTCGTTACGTGACTTCGCATTGTACGCTGTCGCTGTTGCCTTTCCGGCCTGGGCGGCAATTCGCCACTCCACAGCGCAGCCAAATCAGCTGGAGGCCTTTTCACACTTACCACAGGCTTTGCCTCGTATTTCGCCGGTGTTGCATATAATAAATAATTATGATAGATATGACTCGCATCTGAGGGTCGTTTGCCTGGCGCGGCAGGCAAAAAGGGTAAAAAGGCGAAGGATGAGCTGGTCGATTGTGTGTGTGATGGCTTGCGCGCGCATGGAAATGAAATGGGCAATGGCAGGGCGCTACGTTTACGCAAACCACGTTGCAGCGTGCATTTACGCAGTGTCGATTGATTTGAATAGGTGGGTTCGGGCACATACGAAACGGGTGGTATGATTTGGGCATAAATTTGATGTTCGTATGTGATAGGTGCAGATGGTAGTGATGGTGAGGGTGTGGCACTGCTTGGATTAATGGGTATGGGTATGAGTGATCTAAGGCGCTTGCGACGGGTGCGTGGTGGTGGTAAGGGTGCCGTTGCGGGCTGGGTAGCGTTATCGCCGAGTAGCGGTGAGTGGACGTCATCGTGCGTTTTGAGCTCTGATTTCACTCTCAATGACGTAGTGCACTCTTGTGAGGTTTGCGTCACGGCTTCGGTTGTGATTTGCGCCTGTACTATACTCTCACTACTGGCGCTATTGGTATGTGTATGTGCTAAATTCGTTTCGTTTTCGTATACGTACGTTGGTGTTGCGGCTGATTCGTGTTGCTTCGTCACTGAAGACTTTTTGCGTTCGCGCGATTTGCTGCGGGTCATTGAACTGCTAAGTGCGGGGAGTTGGTGTGTGGTAGTGCCGCTAATACGTTGTGGCTCACTATTTTTGCTGTGGTGCGGGGTTTTGCTGGTTGAGTGACCTGCAAATGGTGGCCAATAGTAGAATACATTGTTAAGCACTGCTACGAAAGGTGCGATAAAAAGTGGGTTAATTTCTTTGATTAATTCTATGGTTAGACGGTACTTTGAAGGGTGTGGTAAGTTTAACCAAAATTGTAGATTTTGTTTCATTTGATCAGCTTTAATTAGGACGAAATTTTTTTAAACTTTTGTGCGGCAGTGCATATAAAACTTTCCGATACAATAAATTTCTGGTGCGCTTGAATTGTGTGGCATTTTTTGTTAAATTTTGTGTTACTTTGTGTTCGCTGCTAACCTAATATTTTGGTGTAGTGTTTGAGGCTGTGTAGCACCCATTATTAAGATGCCCAAAACAAGCAGCTCTGCAAGAAATATTTCACACACAATTATAACTTAATGTACAAGTGACTTGGAAAAAATTCACTTTGCGCGCCTTATTGCGTTCGCCATACATCAATAGCCGCCTAAAGTAATCTAAAGAGAAGAGCAACGAAAGAAAAATAAATTTCTCATCACTTACCTCGCGTCTTGGACTGTTTATCCCTTTCCCTCTCTTTTTCATGCACTCTTTCTCGCTCGTGCTCGCGTTCGCTTCTTTCACGCTCGCTGTTCGGCCGATGGCCGGATAAGCGATGTTGTGTGCTATGCACGCCACAATCGGCATCTGTACGTCTGCGCAGCGTACGTAATAGCCGCACACCGGCATTAACACTGCGTGACTTTTCAGTGGCACTACGTGAGCTCGAATGGCCAACACCAACACCTGCATGGCTGCTCGTTACATGCTCTTCGCGGCGTTTGCTACTGCTGCTTCGTCCACTACTTGTGGTACGCTGCTGTTGCTGCGGCACAGTCACGCACTCAGCGCGTTCCTCTCGCTGAGAGGCATGCGTAGTGCTGCTGGCCGCACGACGTCGTTCACCATCCCTACTGTTTGAGGAGTGATGCTGTTGCTGTTTATGATCTATTGTGCTATCCTTTTTGCTACGTCTGTCGCCACTACGACTCGACAATGCATTCGCTGAGCTGACGCCGCTACGTTTACTCTTCACGCGTACACGTTGTTCGTCACGCGCATTCACTTCATCACCCGATGAATATTGCAAACGCGCTGAGCGCTGTGATTCGCGTGAGCTGGAACGATGCTGTTGCTTTCCAGTGACTTTTGCTTGCGTTTTCGTGGACGTTGTTGTAGCGCTGCGCGTTGGTTTGGGTGTACGTATATTTTCGTATTCACGTTCGCTGGAGAGTGAACGTGAGCGTGCACGTGGACAACTTTCCACCGACGATTGTGATGAGGTGCGTACTCGTGTGTGTGTATCGTGTACAGTTGGTGAGGATTGACGTGTGTTACGCTTAGCCTCGGAGGCAAATGTGCCACGGGATATTTTGACTGCAATGCATGTGTCGTTGTTCTTGTGAGTGACCATCTTTTCATCGATTGTTTCGAGTGGCTTGGAATCGCGTCTATGCAGCGAGGAGCGACGGCGTCGCCGGTCTTTATGAGCAGCCTCATCGGAAAGGGCCTATGGGAGAGGATAGAATACTATGTTGATAGATTTTTTTTTTTTAAACCTTAAAGAATATTTGTTTATTTTATAAATGCAGCAACTTTGCTTTACTTTCTTCATCAGGTTAAAGAAAAATTTCAGGTTTATTGACAAAGTTAATGTTTTTTAATACAAAGTCAAACCTTGTAAAGTCACTTAAGTTGTTTTAACAAAATGCCACAGATACACATATGTAAATATGTTACCGAATCGTCTAATGCTTTGGCAAGCCATAAACAGTTGTTTAAACATAAAATTTCATTAGTATCTGGTACTCATGGCTTTTGATTTTTCGAGAAAAGTTTATGTTAAAAAAAAAAATTACCTTCATAGTTAGATCGGCATTTTCATTCATCTCGCTCAATATAAATGCATCACGTTCCACATCCATTTTACGATCATACGGTTGTGGTGATTTCACCTTGAAGACAGGCGTCAATTCATTTGTTATATTTTCATAGTAGTGATCATTATTGTCATGATCGTAATCATCTTCATCCACATGCTCATCTTCTAAACTCAACTCTTGCAAGGACATACGTTTACCGCGCTCTGCGGAACTCGTACGTATTCGGGACTGTATATCCGCTGTACGTCGTATGAGCTGTGGTTCAACAGCTATTGGACTATGTCGTAGTAGATCGGGTTTATCATTCAATAATTGCCACTTGGTGGCTTTCGTTTCTGTTGTTGTTTCAATTGCAGCTGCCGCTGCTGTTGCTGCTGCTGCTGTCGTTGTTTCTGCATTATTCGCTTCGTGTCGTCGCATTGGCTTCGATTCGACTTCGTTACCGCTTAAGGACAAACGTTGACGCGACGGTAGCGTACGTCTTGTTGACGCACTCATTGCGTTAGTATTGCTGCTCGGTAGCAGTTTCGTTTTAGTTTCGTGAACTTCGTGGCCTTTATGCGCGTTCGCTACGCCAAAGTAGGAGAGCTCGTGTTCGCGTAATTTACGTGCACCACGCGCCTCCTTGATGATTTTCAATGCTGCACGCTGCTCTTCGGTTGGCATGCAGCGATCGATTGGTTGTTTGACTGTGGTGGCTATATGAATTTGGCGATGCTCGGTTGAGTTTACAGCTGTAATGAAGTAGGTGAATTGTGATTGGAAGAGAGAGGAAGCATCTCAAGATTCCTATACTGGTACTTACCACTCGTAGTCGTTCTTGGCTTGGCCCTTGGCGGCGATTGCATACGCTTGAAAGAGTCGCGTTTTTCCAGCGAGATATGCGGCGAATGCAGTTCAATGCTCATGATATTGGACTTGGGCAGATCTTTTTTGGTAGGAAAAGAGTTTACAGAAAACGAAGCTTAAGTACTAAGTGCAGACTGATGGCCGTATATCTTCTGCTAAATCTATGTACATGCATACCCTTATTGCGGTTGATCTACTTTGTCTATCAGTGTCTTGTTCACTTTCTCCCCGCCTCTCGCCGCTAGTTCTTATACCTTACATTTTCTTACTCTACCTACAACTCTTCTACGCACTACTTTAATTACCTGCTTTATCCAACACTGTCGGCTCGCCTTTCCGCTCTTCAGCCTCTATCTTCCAAATAGTACGTTTGGCCTTCATGCGACTCCAACTACCGCTCGAGTATTCCACACCACGTTCATCCTCTTGTGAAGAACTCTCCAGCGTACCACCGCCGCTATCGCCACTTTGTTCCATTTCCTGCGCACAAAAATAGCTTTTCACCTCTTCGTCTGCACTATCAATGCCGTCCTCGTCGTGTTGCCGCTGTGTCGCTGCAATGTCATACATTCGTCGCAGTTGCGATAGCTGTTGACTCACAGAAACCTCGGCACTGCCAAGTAATTTCAATCGTGGCGCTACAAGTGGTGCCGGTGGTAGACTCAAGGGGGTAACAAAAGCACTTTGACTCTCAAAGGAAAGTCTTCGGCTAGTTGTTGTTGTTGCAGTTGTATTAATAACAGTATGTGTGGTTAGCTCACGTTCTGTGCTATCCAGAGAAGTATTCGAATAACGACGCTTAGTTTCCTGATAGCTATTTGAGCGTAACATAGGTGTGGGTACCACAATGGGTGCTATGTTAGCTGATTCTAGTGAAACTATACTGAGCCGACGCATAGCTTCGTCGAACTCGTTTGCAGAACGCATAGTTTTGATGATCAGCGAAGTGGACTTGAGTCCCTCATCCAGCATGCGTTGATGTTCACGCAGATCTTGTAGTATTAGCTCTTGTGCGCTGGGACGTCGATTTGTGACATTGGGATTGGGTATGCTGTCAGTAGTGATTGGCGTTAGCTTGGGAGTACCTGAGTAAAAGTGGTGAGAGTTGGATTTCTTTCTTTGGCTTGGTGTTTGGAGAATTTCAGTTTTATACTTATCTACTGGTTAAATTAATTGGTTTAAAAAAAATCCATACAGTTAGTAGCGACAGCTGTGAAATATTGAAAGGATCAGGCAGGGGCTTAAAAAGGATATTTAGTGTTTAATTTGAGCCAGGAGAGATTGGTTGACAAAGGTTTCGGATTAATGTAGTAAGCAGAGTCAGTAAAAGCATTGCATTGGCTAGAGGGATTGAAAGTGTAAGAGTATTTGGCGTTAGGAGAAATCTTCAGCACATCTACGAAAGAGTTGAAAATGGAAATACATACATATGTTATTGTTGAGAAAGTAGTGCGATTATACAAAGGTATTTTTAGAAATTATGAAGTAGCGCCACAAAGTATAGATAGATTGAGGGTAGAATATCGAGAGGCTCAGCCAAACCGCATGCTAAGTTACAATGTTTACATATCATATAAAATTTATATGAAAAAATTGTATATGGAAAGTGGTTATTTATTGAAAACCTGTCGTCATATGCTTTGAAGTCAACATTTTTTTTTGGCAAAAAAGGTTTATATTGGACTCTTTAGTACATAAATTCCCACTAACTTTTTCTAAATGGTAATCATACGCCCAGCGAAAGATTTTTTTTTCTGCACTCTGACTTTTTATTTGTCCCCCATTGAATTTTTGGGAGATTTTTGGAGAACATATAAAAAATAGTTTGTACTAAAAATAGCTAAATAAAAAATTAATTATAATTTTTTGCAGTTTCCTGAAGAGAAGCAAAGTTAGTTGATGGAAAATTATTAAAGGATACAAAAAATAATTTTTTCCATGCCAAATACATGGGATATTTTGAGCGCTTTCAGTGACCTTTAAAGATTATTTGATTAAAAAAAAAAAACGTATATAGAACAATCCTAGAGGCGAGAGCCCGAAATTATTTTTTTTTGGGCCACCCTACTGTGTACACTCCCTTTCATCTGTGCATTTTCAGGGTAGTATACTGCAAAACCCTTTCGACGCGGTGCGGAACAAAGAGAAAAATGTTATAGCTCAGTGATTTTAAATGCGCTAGTGAGGTGTGGTGCTTCATGTATTAGGGAGTCCTTCGCTAACCAGGCATACATACATATGTGTATTAGGGTGGATCACCAAAAAAATTTCGCGCTTTTTTTACCGGAATTATAAAATCTTTTATATTTAAAGACTTACGCCAAAATATTACCGAAAAATATTAAGATTTACGCCAGCTGGGTCGATTTGAAAACACCTAAAAAAACCGAGTGTTTTTCTTAATAAATTTAATTTAATAAAATATTTATTTTTTCGAAAAAATCGCCTCGGACGATAGAAGAGTTAAAGCCTAAAGGTATGCAAAACAATGTTTAAACATTTTATCATCGGAATTAAAATTATGAAATTTTCGCTGGTATTTGCAAATCGGCCTAATAAATTTTAATGTTTTTCCAAAAATATTATGGCGAAAGCATTAAAATGTCATAGGTTTTATACTTCCGATTGAAAACCAGAACCGTTTTTTTTCTTTGTATTGGGAGCGATGCATCCTAATATATGGAACTGGACAGTACGTACTGGTACTGTAATGAGTTAAATCCTATCAACGCGACAGCGCAACTCTGCGCAAATAACATCGTGCCGACCACAGTAACATACCAAACAATGACTAAATGATTTCATAGACTGAGGAATCAGAAACTAACCTTGCAATAGGTGACAACAGCAACGAGCTGCTGAAAGAGTTGAATGCCCTCCTACGCTTTGACTTCTGGCGTCCCAAAGTGAACATTTTGTTAAACAAATATCCTCCGTATTATATTGTTTAGTATTCGACAGGTAGAACTGCAGCTTACTGGTGAATACTACCTCTAGGCAGGATCCAGTTTGCCGATACCTTTCCAAAGGAGCATTTGGCATTTTCGATCTTTTCATTGGTCCAATTTTTTATGTAGCGGGTCACAAGCCCAGCACACCCCAGGTAATTAAGAGGGAGATACACTAGCAATTCGCACGAATGGCCAAATCATGATAGCACAACCCAAAAAACCTGCAAAACTGCAAGAAACTGCGAAAAAAAAACTAAAATCGCGCAAAGATTTCAAGGAAAAAGATCATTAACTTAATAGCCACGATTTCTGACCACTGGCTGGATTGGCTTTCCGCACCACAATCCTCAGCGAGAAGTCCAAGTGGTTTAAAGATACCAACGAACCATGATAACACATAAAAGCAAAGGTTCCAGAGACAGCGCAATTTGTGGTAGCCGAATGGTCAGAGTTGTGTACCCGACCCACGACCTCGCCTTTTGCTTAATCTGCTATGCTGCCGTCTGTCAGGACACAATTCTGATTGGATCAAGCGCGCCATTAATTCCGATTAACGTTGCACTCTCTCTCTTTGCTATAACTTAACCTAATCAGGTTATCGACTTGCAGGGCAATTCTAGCTAAGATAGTAAAAAGTCCTTCGAAAGACTCTTGTTATTGTAGTCTTAGAAAAAAAGCTTTCTCATTGAACAACTAGTGGTGAAAAATTATTTCGAGAGAAAACACTTTTATATCATTTAGCTCGCAAAGCTACAATAGTCGCAATGGCCGACTAAGCAAAGTATAAGCGTGCCATTCAAGATATCCGAGTTCGAGTCCTCGGGCACCGAATTTATTTCTATTTTAATTTAATTCCTAGATTTTACTGTTTTAAAAATAAAAATATATATTTTTAATTTAATTTAATTTTTAAAAACTTGTTTTATATTTTTTTTCTAATTAAGTTGTTTTTTTCTTGGTTAAATTTTCTTTTTTACATGTTATTGTGTTAAAAACTAAAACTTTTTTTAATTTCGTTTAATTTTAAAAATGTAGTTTATATATTTTTTTGTTTTTAGTTCAATTTTTTTCTTTCTTAATTAAATTGCTTCTAATATTTAGATGTTATTGTTTTAAAAATACAATTTTTGAAATTTCACTTAATTTTTATGAACTTATTTTTTCTTTTTTAAATTTTTTTTTATTATTAGTTATGTTTTCTTTTAATTTTAAGATTTAAATTTTTAACAAAATAATAATATATTTATAATTTCATTTAATTTTTCGATGTTGATTTTTTTCTTTTTTTTATCAATTAAACAGCTTTAATTTTTTATTTCAGTATTCTTTTAAATTTAAATTTTATTGTTTTTTATATTTGTGTATTTTATTGTTTTTTATATTTTTTTAATTTCATTTAGTTTTGGAACTTTTTTAATTTTCTCTTTTTTTTACCTAAATTTCTTTCTTTTCCTTGTTAGTATAACTTTCTTTTGGGTTTTAGACTTTATTTAAACAAATATATGTGAATTTGCTTATTTAATTTAATTTTTAGGATCTTATTTTATTTATTTTTTAATCTTCCTTTTATGTCGTTTTTTAGTTTTACCTTTTGCACTTTTTCATATAATTCTCTATTAGTTTTTCGATTTTTTTTAAATGAAACTATTTTTTTTTCATTTTGTTTTAATTTCTAAGTATTACTTTTTTTTCATTAATTTTTTTCTTTTCCTAATTTAATTTTTAGATTTTATTGCTTAAAGGAGAAAAAAATTTTATTTAATTTTCATTTAATTTTTTAAAACTTTTGTATCTATTTTCGCTTTATTAATATCTATTTTTTAATTTCCTTTAATTATTACTTTTTGGTTGTTTCAAAAAGAAAAGTATTTATGTTTTTTACATTTAATTTAGTCTTTAACAAACTTGTTGCTACAAGGGGAAGAGCATAACGCCAAGACCTCCTTCTGTAGCACATCTTTCAATTAGTATTACGGAAGACAGTAAAGAGCTTTTAAGATAGTTGCCAGAATTGACTGTGTTGAGCTAAAAACAGTTGCCCGTTAGTTGACTACAGAAAGCGGTTTAGTATATAATTTATAGATAAATAAATATCAATGGATTAATACTCCAGCACTCAAAATTTTAAGCCAATTTAACAAGGAAGTATATCTCATTCAGCTCCCAAAGAGGTTATGGGCATGCAAAGGGTTAAGTTGTTTTTAGTAAAAGTTAATACAAAATTACCAACAATAAAACATTAAAAACCACAATACGTTAACAGCTATGCCGAGCAAAGCAACAACAAAAATTAATTCAGTAGGAGGAGAAGGGGGAGTAGTTTAACATATCACAAAACTAAAAGGACAACAAATCAGATAAACAGTAGATCAACCCACAAAAAGAGTAACTAAAAGTAAATTACATACATAAGGCTACTTAAAATCCGTAACTAGTAAAATAAATAGTCCAAACATAAAAAAAAAATATTTATATATAGTACATTGGACTAGAGAAATTGACGGTACAAAATCACTACAAACAAGTTAACAAACTATACATACATAGGTTAGACTAAGAAGATATGAGCAACTCGCCTACCTGTGCTTGGCCAATCGCGTGTGCCAGTGGCTGCTGCTTCGTCTAAGCTCAGATTGATTTTCGTGGAATAACCATTTTGTGTGGAATGCTCACGACGTTTCTCCGCAATGCGCACACGCTCTGCAACGGATTTATTCAAGACAGCTGTTGGTGAGTCATCTGTTAGGGCGAACCAAAAAAAAAAAAATGATTTAAGTTACACAAGCGTCTTGAATGCTAAAGCATTGAACTTCCTACAAACCTTTATCACGTCCATCGCTTATGGCACTACTGCCGCCACCGCCAGCTACTGGTTTCAGCTGCACGCCCCACAGCGCATCCGCGCTATCGATGTTCTCACCCAAATGGTAAGGCTTCGGTTTCACTGGCTTATTTTTTAGTATGCCGCGTATGCCGGCGATTTCGTCATTTTCATTGTCCGTTGTGTCGATACCACTTGTCGTCGAGGCGTAGCTAGCATGCGTGCCTTCCGCATACGAATCGCTGCACGCAGTCAATTTTTGCACCGAAACAGTAACACCAGTTGTTGCTGGCAACAATACTGGCGCTTCCACAACATCGGGTGGTTCCATTAGGGTGGCTTTGTAAGCAACCAACGAACTGGCGATAGTGCGATGACGTTGACGATCATCACCGAAATGTGTAACGTTACCGCTTGCTGTTGCTGCGGTTGTTGTTGTCACAGCTGTGCTTGCCGATGAATTGGTGAGACTTTGCAGTGGACCGCTGGTGGTGCGGCGTCGCCGACGGAAATTATTCGTTGGCGGCGGTTTGCCATCTGTTTCGACAATATTAACACGTCCCGATTCGGCTGCGAAATGCACTTCAGTTTTACAAAATTCTACACGTTTTTGCGCATTCTGTGCGCGCTGGAAGAGCGTAGAGTTGCAACCTTGACTGCCCTCTGGATTGCTGTCATATCGACTCAATTGCATGTTGGGCTTGCTGCCCAACTCAGCCGTGTCGTAGAAACCATTTAGGTGCACTTGCGAGGTTTTACGTAAATTATCACGCACATACTGACTCTCATCCACCGCGATTGAGTGCCGCTTGTGTAAGTCTTCGTCGGGTGTATGGCGCGCAGGTGATTTACCTGCACGAAAATGCGCCTGCGTGACTGTTTTGGCTGGCTCGCCAAAGTGTATGACTGTAGCGCGTGCGGCGGCAGCGGCAGCGGTGCTGGCGGCAGCTGCTGATTCCGTTGGCGACCAGTTACTGAGCTCGCCTGAGCGACCCAGTCCGCTGTCCGTGGAAGCGTCCATGCGAAATATGGATTTATTTTCGGGCGGTGACATCTGCTCAAAACCATACGATTTGCGACGCGAGTGCCACTCCGTTGAGTTGGTATCCTTAACTTTCTGGCGTGACTCCAGACTATGTGAGTTGTGCTTCGGATTTGTAGGCGAATCGCGCTGTGCTAAAGGTTCGCTATCTGGTGAAATACGCTGTGTGCCGACTGCCCTGAAGGCAGACTGGTGCTGTTGAAGGTGTGGCGGTGTCGAGATCTCTGGTGACTCTTCGGGCGTTAGTTGTGGCAGGCGTGGTGTGGACAATTTGCGGCGCACGCTCTGCTGCACTTCAATGTGTTCGTCTGCTTCGGGCGGTTGCTGATATGCAATAAAGTCGTCCTTATATAACGACTCATCCGATAATTTCTTGAGGCGACCGCGTATCTCTTTCAACGACTCGGCGGTTAGTAGCGCATTATGCTTGCTGTTAGGCGCGGTTGTAGTCGCGTCTTTGGGGCCGTGTAATATACTCTCGAGTGCTGCTAGATCCACGTGATTGTTGCGCATAGCGGTGGTCAAGCGACGTCCACTCTCCAGTTCGGCGCGTATGCGTGACACACTCACCGAACTGGCAGGTAGATCGAACAGGCGACGCGGTGTGCTCGACGCTGATTGCGCTTGCTGATCGATGCTGGTGCTGGAGCTATTATTTCCTGAGGAAGATGACTGAAAGGAGCGTCGCAACTTACTAACGCGACGCCATTCATTGGACTCGGCGATAGCTTCGTGCGACTCCCACTCGTTGCTCAGATCATCCGTGGAAATGGAATGCGAACGCTGCAGCAATGCGTTGTTAGAGCTGGCCGACTGACCAAATGGTTGTTGCTGACGACGCAGCTGACGCGTGGTTAAGCTGTGGTGGTTAAAAGCGAGCAGGAGTAATACAAATTTTTGTATGTGTAAGAAAACTTTTTACAACTAAATATTTTTTAAAAATAAAATTTGCTTGCCTACAATACTTAAAAACCCAAGTGCGCAAACCAGCTGCTGTGCACAGCGTTCAATGACAATTAAATTGAATTGAAATCAGCGTTACACTAACAGCTCAATTGAAATTGAATTTCTTCCAATAATACCTCACAGTCAAAACTGTAATTTTCACTCAAATACTCACCGTAAATCATCGTCTTTGGCATTGTCATCCATCGACGACGACGACATTGTCTCCGACGCTAGCTGCGCAGTGGCTGCCGAGCCCGCGTAATGCCGGAAACTTTCCAAGTCACGTCGACGCGTTGGTGTCGCCCGTTCAAGCAGTTCAATTTGTTGGTTTTGTTGTTGTGGTTGTTGATTCGTTTGATGGAGGTTTCGTAGTTGTTGTTGTTGTTGCTGGTGGTGGTGGTGGTGGTGGTAACGGCGTCGCGACTCATCTGCGTCGTCAGGCAAAGCAGTCAGAGCCTCAGCCTCAGCCCCGGCCGCAGAACAATCATCACAATCAGCTACGCCTACGCGCGATTTGGTTGAATTGCTGTTTTGGCCATATAGAGTAGCTTGTTCCAAATGACGCGCGCTGCGTTGCTGCTGCCACGTTTTTGTACCAGTCACAGTGCCATTCGAACTTTGTGTTGCTGTTGCTGTGCTTTTTGGTGACTTTATTGCTACGTTACTTGTGGCTTGTCGACTTTTGTTGCTGTTGTTGTTGTCGCCGCCACCACTGCCAACAATTGCATGTAGGCTCACCTTACCGACAGCGCTCTTGTGGGTGTTCGCTGTTGTTGTGTTGGTGGTGTTGGTGGAATTATTGCTGCTGCTGTTGCTGCCGCCGCTGCTGCTTTTCTGTGAAATTTGAAGAAAGGCAAGTTTATTGCTTAAGTCTTTTGTTTGCTTATATTTATTTTTCTTTGCTTTGTTGCTGCTTAAAATACAAGTAGGTAAATGACAATTAATATATTTTAACGTTGGTTTGGTGTTTTTTTTTGTATGTAAATAGAAGTTTGAATTTAAGGCAAAGAACAAAGAGCCATACAAAAAAAAACACACACAAAAAAGTTCTCTCTGACACTCTGATTGGAAGAAGATTAATTAGGTATAATCTTCCGAGACAAATTTTACTGTCACTTATTTTTCTTGTAACAGCCAAAAGCTACGCATTAATATACAAGTATGTAAATAAACACCAATGGCATACTTTTGTTGTTGCCCACGCGCCACACATTTTTGAAAATATTTCATATATTTGTATGCAAAGTGAAATCGCTTCAAAAATTGAGAGTTGAGTCTAATATTCAACTGGTAAATAACAGTCAGTGACTTCCCACCCATGGTTTTTGACAATTCTCTAAACGAGCTGGACACCTATATATATATATCTACTAAGTGAACTCATATTAACATTGAGTGTAACATCCGAAAAGTGATGGGAATGAAACCAGTTGCATTCATTTCACCAAAACATTTTTATTTTATTTTTATTTGAAAAATTTTAGGATTGCAGTTTTACAGCCTAATAACACATTTAAAAAAGTTGGATGTGAAGGCTATCGGACCAACTGTATTCGATTAAAATGGGCAAATGATGAAAAAGTACCAAAGGATATGTAAAAATTGGTTTCCATTTTTTTTTATAGCCACTAAAATTTATGCATAGATCTTAAATATATGACTTTTTTTTTGAGTTTAAAAAAATTTTATGTTTGCAATTTTAACCTTTATTTTAGTTACATAAGTACCGACGTGATGTCTGCTAGACCACCATGGCGTTACTAACGAAAACTTGTATTTTTGTTTATATTCTTGACGTGTTTTTAATACATCTAGTTGTCGTATAAGTAAAACAAAATATAGAAATTTTCACGTTTAATACTAATTATGAACATACGATATTGCAATCTCAAATTCAATGGGGGAAAAGTATTTATCTTAGTAATTAACATTTATCAATTAAATAATTATTTACTTTTGAAAACATTTTTTCTTAAAGAATAACCCTTTGGCGACCGTTACTGATCCGCTGAGGGAATTCAAAGATATGACACCTGCTAAGTTGTGAAAAAATGTGGGACCTATATGTCCCAATGGTCGTCAATGGTAAAAATCTATACACCGTTTTTTTCTACTCCTAGCAGACTTTCGATTTAAAAGAATTGTTTACGCGAGTGCTTATCGGAGAATCTTCGATTATTATTGCACATTGATTTACATTATATACATTTATCGATTTTTAATTAACTTTTCGTGAAGTTCCAGCTGTTTTTACTCGTGCTTTTGTAGCATTGTGACAGTCTACTTTTGTAAACTGCCGAGATCGTGCCCCTTTTACATATCAAAGGCAGAAATCGCTCAACTGGTTAATGCCGATGATAGCGATGATGATGAACGTGCTTTCGAATTGCCGGATAAGATATTTCTTTTCTTGAAGAGAACGCTGCCGACCTTAAACTTGTACGGAGGTGCGAATGAAGTGTAAGGATTACGAGAGAAGTCACAGCCACCTGAGCCAGTAATTTTGAAGTGGTAAATCCAAACGACGATTACACTCTTTCGACGTTCACAAATCCATATTACGAAAGCGGGAATGTGCCAGACAATCCATAATATGGGGAAATTCAAGTGAAGTAAGTCTTGAAGCAGTATATGAAACATAAACCGATTCGACTTGCGCCATTTTTTAAATCTCCACGTCAAATAAAGATGTTTTTTTCTATATCTACATTGGAATTCTTCGTACAGCTGGCTACCAAACTAATTGATTATTTTAACGACCACAAATTTGCATCATTAGAAGCGGTCAAAGATGGGCCTTAGCGCAAAAGTGAAACGAGACGTATGAGGTGTGTTGTTTGCTAAAAACAAGGCAAGAATCATCGAACAAACGCATGCTGTGGCTCTTGCAAAAAATCAAGGTGCTTTAAAATATGATCGAAATTGTTTTGAAATTTACCACAAAAAATTATTTTCCAATGTATAAGCCAAAAAGTAAAAAAAAAAATTTTTTTTTTCCTAGTAAACCAACTCCTCGGCAAAATTCTAAAATGTCATTAATTTTTAACGTTGAAAAACCAATGGGACATATATGTCCCTTCAGATTGGGGGATCTCAGGCGTGGTCTAAGTCTGCTAACTTTTTTGTTTGTTTTTTTTTTGTTAGAAAGAGGAACTTTGCTCGCAACTTCTCCGAAAGTTCTGAATATGTAACTCCACCTAATAAAGAAATATTGCAACAAGCAAATGGGTGAAAAAAGTTAAGTTTTTCCAAATTTGGGACGGCCTAGCAGATAAAGGGAGGAATCCATCCTTAAAAGTAATATAACTTCAGAAAGCTGCATTAATTATCTTCTAAACCTTTTTGAAAAAAATCGGTTCAACAGTTTTTCCAGGAAAAATTTATATGCAAAAGGAACACCGGTGTCCCTTTGGTCATCAAAGGGTTAATAACTAGATAAACAACAAAAATAAAAAATAAACATTAAATCAACTGAATTCTTGATTCTTGAGTGATTCATTCTTGAATTACAATTCTAAAATTAAATTAAATTTTAGTTAGCAAGTAGTTAGAAAATCACGTTGCTTTAAGATAATTTTATATTATATATGTGGACGAAAATACCTAGCAACGTCAGCAAAAAACAAATTTTAAATCAACGTGAGTTCTTATTTAGTCACATAAAACTTGCTCTTTGTTATGCTAAAATTTTATGTGTGGGTTAAAATTGCATACGTACAATTTTTCTAAAAATTCTAAAAACAAGAAATTTATTTGTGGTGAAAATCCGCACCATCCTTCGATTTTTTTTCACTGTACATTTACTACTAAATAATATCCTTTGGTTTGATATGCATTTATTTCCGATTAAAAAATGGGAAAAGGCAGTTTGTGCGAGTAAATAATGTCATACGATCGAATAGAGATCAGTCTCAAAGCATTACTTCCTTTCTTCTTACAGGATACTCTTTGCCCAAAATCAATATGCCTACCATCCACAATACGGCGATGGATGGAAGAACAAACTTTTAGAGCTTGGAACACCCCCTGATTTTAGCTGATTGTAGGGATCGGTTATCAAAAACTTGGCACTCAATGAGGAGAGGTTGATATGATTCCAGCTGGTCATCCTCCATTCACTAGTCTTAACCTGAATTACTTCCAAGAAGATGTATTTTCTACGTTCTTTAGATCCCCACAAGCTAAACTGAAAAGTCCATGGAGAACTAAAGGAAGACCCTGCGTTCCTTCCTGGACTTTGAGCGTGCTTTCCATAGCACGAAACGCTATCTTTATGTAGAGTAAGCATACTTAAATAGAGAATCACTACACTTACTCTAAGACAAGAAATAGTTAGATTACTAGCTGCAAAAGTATAATAAAAGAGAAGTGATCTCCCCGCTAATAGTAGACGACCTTTTCTGCTCTCGGATTAAGGGGATGATGTTATCATTGAAGTCACCGTCTGTAATCACCTAACGCGCCTAACGTCTCCGTGACATAGCTATTTTCTCCAGAAAAAGCAAAAGGGACAGACTAGATTTGTTGGATTTGTTCTGGCGGGTTGTAGTGCCATAAGAATCACAGATTCCGTATTCTACACAGATTCAAGTTAAAAAATACACTTTAGTGACCTCGCACTAAATCTCAGTCTTCGCTTACCGGACCACTACAGCGCATGTGACGCACAGCTATACGCTATATTGGAGGCTGTTCTATGGCTCATTGCTTACGCTCCGCCAGAATAACCTCAAACTATATATTCTGATAGCCAGGCTGCTTTTAAAACTTTAAAATGCAACCGACCAACGTCCAAAGTAGCCATGGCATACAAAAGGACTCTGAACCTTCTGGGATATACTAAATGCTCATTGACCGCTGTACGTGCACCTGTGCAAAGGTGTATTAATGACAACAGCATGAGAGACGAGTTACCAATGAAAAGGATGGAAGTATCCGTGGTCAATTCCGCACTGGACGTAGACTCCCGCAAATGCAGACTAGAGTCACCGACTAGGTATGTTATTGCTATGTGATCCATGATATCCATGCAACAAGTATTGTAAAGTTCTCATTTGGCATGGACGTTCCTCTCACAGATTAGTAGTCGACATAATAACAGGATACTGCCTTATGAGCACGAATGGAAAGAGATTTGGATGTTTGGGATTTTGAAACAACAATTTGTGTCGCAGTTCAGAGATGAGTTAGAAGTGGAGAGCATCGAACACCACTATCACGCATCATTGGCCCAGGCGCGCACCGCTTCTTCAACCAGTAATTTACAGACTGCTTTACCTACTTGAGTTCAGAGAACATTTTTGATTCAAAATGTTATACAAAGCTCGATGGTTGAATTTCGAATTGAAGGAAGGAAGTAATTGACTTGCACCTGTGGTATCACAACGGGCCTTTTCAGCCTACGCTGGCCTACTTGCTCTTGTACGTAATAAGCCACTCCAACCTAACCTAACCTAACCTCCGCTTTTATGGCTAAAAATAGTTCAACGTCTTTTTACTTAATTTTTGTTATTTAAAAACTTTTCAACCTAAAATAAATAACTCACGGCCAGACAATGTGGAAAATTTCCAATTCTCCAGAAATTTTACAGTTCTACCAATTAAAATTTGATTTATTATAACAAAAACAAAAAACAAATTTCTACAAGTACAGAGTATACATATGTACATATAACCGTTGCATCAAACTTAATTAACCACGCACGAGCTTTTGGATCTCGTAAGTCCACCATCGCTTTGTTGTCTTCGCTTTGGAGCGACACCGCCCACACAAATCATCGACAAGTTCCGTGCGCAGAAAATTGGCTTTCTTTCAGCCGGGTTCATATGTATGCCCTTTTCTCAAAGCAACAGACATGCATACCCAAATATCCGTGACTGTGTAGATTCTTTCACTTTAACATCAAGCACAGACGTCTAAAATTCGCATAACAAAAGCGTGAGCACTGAAAGAAGTAAGCGCAAATAGTGAGGGCGTCGAAGGCAATCAAAGGATGGATGGAATGGGAAGTGTTTTGTGCTGCCGCCGCTGCTGCTAAGACTAAAAACACAAATCGCAATTTTCGGTCATTGCCATGGTAATGCTGTGTAACTGTGCCGGTCACTGCGTGGACTGTGAGCTTGGAATTAACATAATCACGCAGACGAAAAATCACAAATCTCCAAATCTGCAAAAAAGCGTTCAACCAACTCGACCAACTAAATAACCAAACAATCAACCAACCAACTCAGCTTAACGACAGTCACTAATCCAAAACAAAGTAGAAAAAAAAAAACGCAAAAATCTAACAATTCGCAATGAACCCCGGTCGGTAAGCCAACAGCAGTGTCGACGGTCAAGTAGCTACATACTTAAAAATAAAAATTAAAAATAGTTGGGCCATTGTAGCGCGCATTCAATATACTTCTATGTATAGAAACATATTAAAACAAGCATTAAATATGGAAGCGCGGTTTAGCCGATTTTTACGTAATTTATAAGGAACATTTTTTTCTTTGATTTAACGTTATCGATATCTTGATCGATTAATTTTGGTAATTCTTTGCATAAGTAGTTATATTATATCGTTAAATTTTTAATAATGAATCGCTGTTGAGATCTTTGTCGATATATATATCGATATATTAATCGTTATCGTTATCGATATTTTCGCCGCAATCAACATGTATGTACACATGTACTAATATTTAATTTTTTTTTTGGGTAATTTATCTTTGTTGATTTGGTGGTTATTAGCATAGGTAGATTACATCAATGAATTTGTAAGTATGTATTCATCTCTACCAAGATGTTTATCGACACCTTTATCGTTGTATAAATCGACATATTTATCGATAGTTTCAACGTTATCATCATCGATGTGCTAATCGATATTCATTTATCTATATATGCTTTACATATATCTAAATAGACATAAAAAGTGATATCGATATTTATCGTTTTCGATATTGATATACATACATATTCGATTTTTTAGGTGACATCTAAGAAATAATTTGTTTCATTCATTTAATGTTGATATATTGATCGATTCCTCGTAATAGTTGTTAGGAGAAGGAGACCATCTCTGTCGAGATGTTTATCGATATCTTTTGCCTTATATTAATCATTATGGTTATCGATATTTGTGCTAAGAGATACCGTCATCCTCGTCGCGATACTTATTCTTTCGCTTTAGTCTATTTGGTTTTGTGTCATTTATAAGAAATATATTTTTTCATTGATTTGTTTCATGCTTTCGATATATTTATCAACTAATCGTATATGTATGCTATATTGATATATTTATACGTATACAGTGCTATCGAGATGTTTATCGATACTTTTTCAATATATACATTTTCATAGTATGTCTATATTTTTTAGCTGATATCATTATCGAAGTGCTAATCGATATCCATTTGTATGTTATAGATATCTAAAGCGGTATCGATATTTATAGTTTTCTAAACAATACTTGTCAATATCGATCTTACAAAAAATCATATTTTTGATACCATACTAATGAACAATGTAAACAAATGTACGAGTGTATTCATTAATTTCCAACAAAAACCAGTTTTTCTAAACCTTTATTTATTTACATAAAATTAACATTTACTTCGAATACACCGATTTCAATTAAAGAGATTTACCACACGATTGCTGCAGATTGCGATAAGCTCTAAGACAAGTAGAGGCTTACATTTTATCGACAGCCACAAAAAAATACTAAGCAAATACATAAATAAAAAAACCAAAAAAAAAAAACGAGAAACATTCATTAGCTTACCATGAGATTACTCAATTTCAAACTTGGCGCCGTATCTGGCAACAACCGCACTGACGACGACTGCGAATGCAATGTTGACGTCGACGACGATGACGATAGAGGCAGCACAATCGCATTGCTTATCGCCTGACCTTTGCTGCCGCCGCTACTGCCACCACTGCCACCACTGCCACTACGACAAATTGAATAATTGCATGGTACACCGTCATCGCCAGCGCCAGCACCAGCGCCATCATCTGTCTCGCCATCGTCAACAATGTATGGCGTTGTTGTCTCAGCCATAGCGGTGGTGGCCGAGGCAGTTGCAGCTGCTGCTTTTTCGAGATCATCATCAGTGCTTACTTCGCTGATGTCCACAGTTGTGGCGATGGTTGGCGGTGATAGCTGCAACCAATGAGTATTTGCTTCAGCTAAATGCTGTTGCAATGTGCTATGAAAATGATTGTTATTGCTCATGCCACTGTTATTGTTGTTGTGGTGGTTGTGGTGGTGGTTGTTGTGATTGTGCAAGATGCTACGCCCGACACCGCCACCGCCGCCCACACTATTACTTGCCATGCAAATGGGCGATGCTGAGGCGGAAGCTGAGGCAGATGTTGAAGCGGAATTGGAATTGGACGAGGACCATGAGCGGGATGAGGAAGTTTGTACGGTTTGAGCGCGTATGACTTTAACGGCACCATTGGCGGTGCGCGTCTGCAACACTTCGAGTTGTTTGCGCTGTGTGTGTTGGGTGCCGTTCGGCTGTGAGATATTTTGGGAATCGGATATCTGGAATGAGCAGAGAAAGAGAGAGAAAAAGGATATATATGTAAATGAGTAATGAGTTTTTATGCGTTTGGTAGGGACTCTACTGGAGGATAGGTAGGGAAATGCAAATGTATAAACTTATATTCCAAAATTATATGTTAAAAACAAGGGCGGCCAGCGGTGGTACAATCATTTTTGGAACTTAATCTTTCATACAAGGTAGTCAAATTAAACGAGCATCTGAGGCGCCATCTGAGCCTTCGGTGAAAATTTCTTTCTTTAAAAGTATTATTCTACCATCTACGAACCCCCGTCTTGCTAAAGTAAAGTTCGACGGCTTGTTCGTGAAGATTTTCAATCGCAATTGGACAGACCGAATGCGAATCTCGAGACAGATTTATTTCCTTCGCAAAAAGCACCCAGTTTTGCTTCAGATCAGTTTCCAATCAGTGTAACAGGTCAGAATAATATTTGCCGGTAACCGGTCTACTCTTTTCTAGGTAACCCATGTAAATGTCGTCGTTAGCTTGTTGGCGGAAAATCGCAGCTTCGACGTCTTTTGTGCAAATTCACCCGAAGAGGTCAGAGTATTGGTTAAATATTGTCACACACTCCTTTGAAGTGGCCATAGGGTTGCCCTTTTGAGTTTTACACTGCGATGTAAAAGGCTAAAGGTAAGCAGATTTGCGCTTACTTGGTTAGTACTTTGTGGGAATTTGTGGACCAAGATGAGCTCTCTACTTATAGTTTTGTGAGTACCAAATACAATCAAATCCAGAAATTTTATGTCGACCAAGTCATTGTAGAAGTGCCATAAGTCGAATTGAAGCCTCAGCAGGAGCGTCGGGATGCGAAATGGTGATGGAAATTTTTTTCTAATATTTATTCTAATATGTTACAGTACAGATGAGTTTCCATAACTATAATTATCTTTGTAGCCAACAGCTTTGTAGGGCCACTACTACAGCTCCTGCATCAATAATCTAAACAAAGGAATAATGCGCATCCCTGCGGACGAATTTTATGACTCGAATATTTACAAAAGTATTGCCTAAAGGCTACAAGGAGTGTGTGTACAGGCTCAACGGGTACAATAAGCACAACGCCAGAATTGCTCTTTTATTGCTCTACTGGATTTTCTATCTCTAGATTTAGTGATCCAAGGGAAATCCGTCTTCATTGCCTTCTGGACTGCACTCTTTTGGATTGTGGCGTGATGATCATCGTTCCGGGCGCACGGCATTATTTAGCGACAGCCTGATATCTGGAGTGTCTTTTGGAGGAAACCACTTCGTTAGCTTTCATTTCATACAAGGGCGCAAGGGAGAGATCTAGAAACACTCTTGGGGAGCTCGGTAAAAATTTTCTATACCGACAGTTCCAAGAATGAAAATGTAACTGAAGCTGAATATCATCTGGAGGGTAACTTAGATGTTTTACTGCTTTAGATGCAATGACAATAGACTTTAAAGTGAAAGTCCTCAAAATATTTGAGTAGTAGATTGGAAAATGGCAAATGTAGGTTGGAATTGGAAATGGTATGGACATAAACTCAGGGTAGCAAAGCTGCTCTAAAGGTCTTAGAAACTGCTCACACCTCTTAAAAAATACTTCGTTGCAAATTGAGATGAACTTTGACTTGTATGGGTGCCGGGACATTGCAAAACGCAGTTTTTTGGAGCGTCCCATTGGGCGAAGCCAATTTTATGGTTGAGCATACCGAGTACATCAAGAATTTCATTTATAAAGCTCATGACAGCCGTTGGTGCATTACCGATACCAGCAAAATAATCAAATGTTTTCTGTCAGGGTGAAGTGAGTGGAGTGGACAGTAAAGGAACAAGCTACGATCCCTGATAGTATTGATTATAGGGCCCACAAACCACGACACCACGACGACAGGATATGTATGGTCACCATGGGCATCATCAAAGATCCACTGTGTACATCTTGTTTGGAAGATGAAAATTATTTAAAAGGTGGTAACCCTCTTCATACATATTTTCGAAATAAAGGTTTCAAACCTCCATAGTTTGGTACCTGCATTAAAATATTTTATTTACTTTTTAATTAAAATGGGTCTGAACTCCTAGACAAGTGGCAAACCCTCTTCAAAAATACGAATAAAGAAGTAAAGCCTTATCTTTTCGGTTGATAGCTATACACGTTTAAATGTTTCAATTAATTTATTAAAATTTTTTGAACACTTTAGAAATAGCGCTTAGTTTAACCTTTGACGTTTAACAGCCATATAAAAAAATATTCCATTTGTCTTGTTAATCAAATGGTTTTTGAATGTCTAAACAGGTGCCAACTCCCTTAAAAGAAATTTTCGTATAAAATCTTACTTAAACCTAACTCGCTGGACGCCCATGTTAAAATGTATTATTTAGCTTGTCAATTAAAGTGTATTTGAATTTCTTAACAGGCGGCTACCCTCTTCAAAAATATTTTCTTAATAAAGATTTCATAAACTTATCTCGCTGGACGCCCATATTAAAACATTTCATGTAACTTGTTAATCGGATTGATTTTGAATTTCTATACATATTGCAGCACTTATCAAAAATATTTTCAATGTAAAGGCTTCTTAAACCTCTCGAGTTTGATACGCCTAAACGAATATTTCACTTAACTTATTAATTAAATTGATTTTTCATTTATAAACAGCTTTCTCAAGACTTACTCGTTTGATATTAAAACATATTATTTAACTGGTCAATTGAATTGATTTTGAAATTTTAAGCAGGACACAACGCTCTTAAAAATATTTTCTAAATAAAGATGTCATAAACCTCTCTCGCTGGACGCCCACATTAAAATATTCCACTTAACTTGTTAAGTGAATTAATTTTGAATTTCTTAACAGGTGGCAACCCTCGCCGTTAATATTTTCGAAGTAAAGATCTCTTAAACCTTTCACGTTTGATACTCAAATACAAATTTCATTACACTTGTTAATGGAATTGATTTTGCATTTCTAAACAGCTGGCAACCCTCTTCAAAAATATTTTCGGAACAAATCCTTTTTGAGGCTATTTGATTTGACACTCACAGTCGTGTAATATTTTATTTAACTTAATAATTAATTGATTTTAACTTTCGAAAAATGTGGCAACTATCTGATATGTTAATCCAGGTTTTGGCACTTTCTTTTTAGATGTTCAGCTTTTGCGAGGTTCCGTTTTAAAGGATTCGGATTCTCATTCCATCGAAACGCATGAGGGGATACCAACAGCTTTGTTCCATAGAGGTGCATACACACATATTTAGTTAGTTTGAGTGGAGAGTCTTAGCCCTTTTTCCAAGCAGCTGACCAATTAACTAAAAACTGAAATAAAGTACGCTGCTTACGCAGTACTAATATTTTTAGGAATTTTTTTTTTCGACCTTTAACCCCCCTACCCACATAAATATACTATTTAATACAACTCACAATGAAGTATTTGAAATTTTAACAAATCTAGCCAAAGCAAGTTTTTTCACAATGACGCCGTTCGGATAATTTAAGCTTCTTTGTTCGAATGACCTCCACCTTTAGCACTTTTATGTGGCACGTGGCAGCGTACTTACGCTCGTACGAATATTTTGTCCACACTGGCGCCATGTTGCCACCTTCACAATGTACCAAACAATTTATCATTTTTGATTTCGGCAATAATGTACAGTAATGTTGAACAAAAAAAAAAAAACACGCGCAATCGATTGACGTCGTTTTGTATGGCAACAAATGAAGCGAAAATTAAAAAAAAAAATTAAATTTAAAATAAAAATGCGAAACGTTTTACCAGCCATATTTATGTAAGCAAGCACATAAGAGTACAAATGCAAGTCCAATAATATTTAAATGCGCACAAAAAGTCGTGCCACATTTGCACTTGCAACCTGATAAACGAAAATTGATTGGACGCAAAAGATTTACGAGCGCAGCACAAGCCAAATACTGAAGCAAAAAAAAAAAAACGCGCAGCCGAAGCGGCAGTGACAGAGCAAGTTAAAGCAAGGCAAGCCAAGGCAAGGCGTGATGACTGGACCAGCAGCAGTGCTATATGGCAGTCGTTCTTGTTTAGCTGCTGTCGTTTTAGTTGTTGTTGTTGTTGTTGCGTGAAGCTGCACTTCACTGCGCCGTGTTTGATTGCCATTTTGCGCATGCGCATGCCAAACGATTTTTATTACCGTTATGCTGCACAGCTGATCACTTGCACGCTTTGATTCGGACAAAGGTCTATGACTGACCAATGGCAACGACAAGGCACAGTGGTATTTCGGCGGAAAAAATTTAGTTTTTGCATAATAAATTTTTGTATTTGAATGATTTAGCCTAACAAATTTATATTTGAATAAAAAAAAATCATTATAACTTTGTACGAAATTGGCAGTTTCATATAAAATAAAAGCAATAAAATTCTGAAGAATTCTGAAGAATTTTATTTAACTAAAACTAATTTTTGTTCAATAAAGTAATATGGTTTTCTTATCATTTTTGCTTTTATCATTTCTTTTTTTTATTGTAGGTTGATATGAAAATATAGCTCTTACTAGACAAAATAGAGAAAACATCAGGGCAATCGACGAAATATTTTAATAAATATAAGCTGAAAAAATGGCACTTCATAAATGCTAACTTTGACACTTTTGATGGACAAAAACTATGTTGTCTCTCTGCGCCTTCTTACTATAAAAAATTAAAGGCCTGGAATATTTTCTACTTAAAAACAAAAAAAGCGCATATTTGCCACTTTTAACTTAACCTGAAACAGTAATGATGGCATTCATGGTATTTTTAAGGCGTTTTTGGGGTTAAGTTTGCATGGGAAGCATTCGTTAAAATAAACCGATTACTCACCGATTACCTATCACTGTGCGGTGTGGCGATGACGGTGGTGGCGGCTGCCTCGGTCAAAGTGCAAAATCGTACTAGAGTTTCGATTGAAAATGCAAGGGTGCATAGCGTCCGCAACAACAACAATAACAACAACTAATGAAAATATGAATTAGAGAATTGAGTTTTTTTTTTTTGT